AATTAGAGGCACTTCTGAACATCGCATGTAAAACAAATGGCACCACTAGATTCCTGGGACAAAGCTCGTCTAGAAAAGTGCATTTTTATGTCAAAAATAAAAAGTTGAAAAATTGACTTTTTTCTTAGCCCTCGTTTATGTATGGTATAAACGATTCTTTATGCTTTCATGGCACACTTTACACCAGCACAGTGACTTGGTGTCACATATAACCATTACCATCGGATTCGGCGTGAAAAATAAGCCATAAAACATGTGTCGCACGCCCATGTAGCAGAAAGTGAAAACCGTGACCTTTCGTGACCTGACCTGACCTTGACCCGTACTTAGTAGGTATGACCCCTATACGCACATGGTACCTTCACTGGGTCTTTGAGGTCATTTTTGGTGAGTTTCGAGCAGCAGCTATCGATTCTGCTGTCCGTAAGCCTGATCATGCAAAACCCCAGAATTTGACCTTTGACCTGATCTTGACCCGAAAGTTGACCTCAATCTTAAACTCTTCAGAGTGCTTCTTTGGGAAGGTCTCGTAGAGACCTTTCGAACGCCGCCTCGCGGGGCTCGATACAACCATTGGTTCTCGAGATAGCAGGGGGGGGGTCGGATCCGACCCCCCCCCAGGCTGTCGTGGGTACGGAAATAGCCCAGGCGGTGCCGGGTTAGCCCGCGCCCCGTTGGGGTCTGCCGAGCAACGCACCCTGTTGGGGGGGGGGGGCAATTTGGCCCCCCTAAGATCTCGAGAACCACGCAACATAGCGACAAGCGGTAAACGGCGTTGGATAGCCCCAACAGGAAACAACCTTGCGACCCAATTTCATTGACCTAGGTCAAACCGATGACGTAATAGGTCAGGTTAAATGTCGAATTTTCACCGTTTACAGGCATTTCAAGAAATGCGTTGTAAAATCGAGTAAAATGCATTTCATTGAAAATCATCGATGGGGTATTGTTCAACAAACACATATTTTGCTATTTTAGGTCACTGATACCAGGGCCCAATCTTACCAATGCCGTAAATAGGATTTGGCAGCACTGGCCGTAGTTTACGGCACTGATATAAAAGATAGCCTTTTTATTTACATCCAGCTAATCTTGTCCGATGATTTTGATAGTGTGAATGATTATGAATGTTACCTGAACTAATGAATAAGTGAATGTGGAATGGTTCTGAATGTTACCAAATGCCGTGAATGCGCATTCACGGCATTTGGTAAGATTGGACCCAGGTCAAGTCACAGAGGTCGGGTCACTGAGGGTCACAATATGAAAATACCATGTGATACATGTTTTATGGTCCATTTTATATGTCAAATGCGATTATGTGGGTCAGGCAGCCTTTGGGGTCAGTTTGGATTATGTTCTGATGAAGGTCAGGTCAAGGTCAGGTCAAGGTCAGGTCAAATTAGGTCAAATTTCAAAGTTGATATTTTTGCATAAAATGGGTATCAATTCGATGCAGCTCGTCACGGGGAAATCAATGGTGGTCTTTGTTTTGCGCTACGTGCTCTAGAATTGCCAAAAATTGAGTTAAAAAAATTGACGTCATCAATTTTGAACAGTTTTTTTTTTTCGCTATAACTTGGCCAATAAAAGAGGTATCGGTCTAAAAATTGGTATGTAGATAGAAGGTGGTAGGGACTATCACATTTATTCCGGTTTATTCGAAATTCAAAACACTTTTTGGATTTTTTGGGTATTATATTAAAAAATCTAATATTTGATTTTTGGGGGTCAATATCCAACAAATTCGAAAAACCGAAATAGCAGTTTTGTAGCCCTCTTGATTCCACACCTTTTATGTCAAAAACATTTTTTCTGTATCTCTTAAGCTGTAGGCCGGACAGCTCTTCCCGCGAAACCTTTTTTTGGGTCGAAAATGGCAGAAATGACGTCACTCTGACGTCATTAGTGGCCAACCTATCATAGCCTTTGGAAAAAAATTTGGTCACCATGTGCGCTAGCTACTCCCGGGAGGGTACTGAAAGTTTGGTGACGATCGGCGCAGCGGTTCTCGAGATATATCGAAAAAACTAAAGGGGGGGGGGGCAAAAAATGCCCCCTCCCACCGCCTGGAAGGTTATAGAGCCATTCCTACCCGTTTTAGTGGTAAAAACAGGGAGTTGATTTTTCACCCATTGACATATAATGGGGAGGTCGAGAAATGAACCTGACCTTAGGTCATCGATATCAAAATCCCGAGATAAACAAATTGTAGCTATTAATGACCTTATAACATCCTGCGACTTTCAAAGGCCTCCGACATCTACTGTAGCTCTGGCACGGTGACAAAGTTGCAAAAAGTAACTTGAGGTTGGGTCATTCAAAGTGACCTGGTGACCTGACCTTAAAAGTTAGAAGGTTCAAACTTACACACCATGTGTAAAATTGATGGGAGAATAGTTGTACCAAATTTCGCGGCGCTACGCGCCGCGGTTTTTTCGCTATCTACGAAAAACCTCAGGGGGGGGGGGCGGATATCCGCCCCCCGCCGGTGCGCGGGTTAAGACACGATTTCCGAATGCTTACCGTGCACAATTTGAAATCGAATATTTTTCGGTAAGAAATTATTGGCCAGACTTGGGCCAGACGCTGAAGCTGTTAGCTGCCATAACTCACGCGAGAGCTTCGATTATGAACTTGGAGCCAGAGTCCTTTTAAAAAATGAAAACGAACTATAGTAAATGATATAGGTAATTTTCATGGCTCCGAGTGGCGGCTCGAAAGGGTATGTCCGCCCGACTACCCAAATCAGCCTTAAGCTCATTAACCCGCGCCCCAGTGGCGGTCTCAGCCAACTTGGCCCTAATGGGGGGGGGGGGGGGCATATGTTACCACCCACCTCTAACTCAAAACTAAGAGGGCTAGAAAGACGCGGTAAAATGCAGTCGATAGCTCTCAATGCGTACGTTTGAAAGTATTTCGGTCATTTTTCACCTTAGAGCAATATTGGGGTCACCAGAGGTCATCAAAGGTCAAAATTTGCCAATTGTCATTATATTTTTCAGAAAACATGCCGTTATCTCAGGCACTATGGTAGCTAGAAAAACGCAGGGAAAAACAATCGATAGCTTTTGAACTCTTCTTTTGATAAGGTCATAAACAAAATTGACCTCGGGTCAATGGTTTAGCCTCCAGAGGGCAAAAACTAAAAAATAGCTGTTTTTACGAAAAGTGTTTTCGACAATAACTTTCGACTACAAAAAGCCACGACATTTCTATTGCCAGAATCGTGTTCCCTGGCCGAGACGCGTCGAATGAACTATAATTTGACCTTGAAAGGTCAACTTGAAAATTTGACCTCATGTTAAGGTCATGACCTGACCGGAAAAGGTCATGTTGCATATAAGTCGATGCGTCTCAACAAGACAAACACAATGAGACCATCCCCAGCGCTCTATCTCTTTCCAATCGCGAGTTATTGGCAAAAACTGTTTGTTGCCTCAAATGACCTCGGATGACCTATGTAGAGGCTATCAGCAAAAATGACACCTTGGTCATCACGGGTGGTCCAAACCATTGTTATCCTGAAATATTTGGACTGTTCCTATGCGTACACACGGATCTAGAGGCATTTTCATTTTTCTCCATTGACTTGTAATGGAAAGGTCACGCCACTGACCTGACCTTAGGTCACGGATATAAAAAATCCGAGATATGCAAATTGTAGGCGCCCATAACAGCATGCAATCCACCAAGTTTCAAACCTTTCTGACAAACACTGCAGGCTGGACATGATTATTGATTGCAAATTTTTTTAGGCTTGGTCAGTTAACTTGACCTGGTGACCTGACCTGACATGACCTGGGGTAAAAAATTTCACACATTGTCCAAAATTGATGTACCAAAAGCTACCCCAAGCGGCGCGGCGCTACGCGCCGCGGTTTTTTATTCACACGCAAAAAACGCGACAGGGTGGTAACATATGCCCCCCCCCCCACTGGGGCGAAGGTTAACTTGACACCGCCTGGGCTATTTCCGTACCCAGGACAGCATGGGGGGGGGTCTGATCTGACCCCCCTGTTATCTCGAGAATCAATGGTCGTATCGAGCCCCGCGAGGCGGCGTTCTAAAGGTCTCTACGATACCTTCCGAAAGCACTCTTATGACTTTAAGATTGAGGTCAACTTACCGGTCAAAGTCGGGTCAAAGGTCAAATTCTGGGGTTTCTGCATGATGAAGCTTACGGACGGCGGAATCGATAGCTAATGCTCGAAACTCACCAAAAATGACCACAAAGACTTAGTGAAGGTACCATGTGCATATAGGGGTCATACTAAGCACGGGTCAAGGTCAGGGCAGGTCACGAAAGGTCACGGTAGGTCACTTTCTGCTACGTGGGCATGCAACACGTGTTTTACCTATGAGTTATTTTTCACGCCGAATCCGATGGTCAGGGTTCTAACTTCTATGTGACCCAAAGTCACTGTCCTGGTCGTTATTGTGTATTGAATGAAAGCATACAAAATTGTTTATTCTACACACCACCAAGTCAGGGCTAAGAGAAAGTAATTTTTTTCAATTTTTTATTTTATTTTTGACATAAAAATGAACTTTTCTAGACGAACTTTGACCCAGGAATCTAATGCTGCCATGTATTTTCGCATGCGATATCAGAAGTGCCTAAAATAACGAAAATGCTTTTGACGCCACCTTGCTCTACACATGTTGGAGACATTTTTTTACAATTTGGGGGTCAAAATTCAAGAAAGAAAGATGAAATTTTGAACACCAAATGTTCTGATAGAGCTCTATAACAATATGTCTGAAAAGGCTCTTGCAGAGCCATGACATACCTAGTTATGCTTCGGTGTAGTAATTTGATTGTGCGAGCCAGCGACAGTGATCTGCGGAAGCGAGACTGTGCCCGTGGGACCAGATTGTGCTGTTGAGACTGTGAGGCTGTTGAGACTTGTGCTGTTGAGGCTGTGTCCCAAACGGTTACTCGAAGAGGATTACGACTAAACGGTTTCTCTTCTTTGACCAAGCCAATATACCAACAGTTTGCAAGCTGAATGAGAAGTTGTATTCAAGAAAACCAGGTCAAAATGTTGCACAATCAAAGTTCTGGCCTTGAAATAGCAGCCTGTTTTGCATGTCACTGCTACCAAATGGCCGGTGGGGCCGTGGGGTCTGATCTAGACTGCCAGTTATTTCGATTCTAGACGATGGGGTAGGAGGCGGAGGTGGCGATGCCGCACTGGTTGCCGGCGTTCCTGCTCATCTTGATGTAGCCGCTGAGACCCCAGCCGGTGCCCCACGAGTTCTTGACGAGCCAGTAGTCCTGGCCACTCTCGGTGCCGTAGCCGACGGCCAGCACGCCGTGGTCCAGGCGGCTGCTGGAGCAGTGAGCCTCGTTGTACACACCGCCCGAGTACAGCTGGAACGAGAAGTGGGAAGCGTCGATGGCGACGGCCACGGGGCCGACGTTGGCGACGGCGTCCAGCAGGCCGCTCTCGCTGCCGGAGTGGATGTCCGCGTAGCTGCGGAGGGTGGCCACGTTGTGTCCGCTGGCCTTGCAGGTGCCGTCCCGGGCCGTGTACGGGTAGGAGGCCTCCGACTGAATGCCACCGTGGTCACGGATGTACCTGCGAAGCAAGAAAACGCGGCGAAAATGCTGAATTGCTGACATGTACCTTTCACTATGAAACAGTACACACACACAAAAAAAAAATAACAAAATATGTGATACGAGCGGGCGCGAAATCCAAACCGAATCCCCCGTAAATGACTACTCTTGATGCATCTAGGACAAACTGGGTGATCATTTTGGAACGTGCCACATAAAAAATAAAGGATGTAAATCTTGGCAAATACATCGCTAGAGACTGGTAAGCACCTAGAGGGTGCCGTGCACAAATCAGTTGGAAGTATCCCCTCGCACTAGCGCACTTGCAGGGCTCACACTCGTGCTTGCTTGCTTTTGTCCCAAAAGGCATTTACTAGTATTAAATATTCCTATCATACAGGATGGCGAGCTTAGTTCTACGCTAAAACACCCAAGTGGCGGTTTAGTGACTCACTGGAAGGCCGAGTCCATCCAGCCGCCGTTGCAGCCGGCGTTGCCGTAGGCGGTGGAGCAGTCGACCAGCTGCTGCTCGCTGAGCGAGACCAGCGTGTTGCCGGCCAGCGCCCAGGCACCCTCCAGCGCGCCGGTGGCAGAGAACGACCAGCACGAGCCGCACTGGCCCTGGTCCTTGACGCCGGTCACCACGCCGTAATCACGCCAGTCCTGGCTGGTAGGCGCAGCTTTGCCCGTGTTCTGAAACAGCAATATCGTTTCGTGAACATCGAGTAAACCAAGCTTTCAGTAGAAGTAATGCAACAAAAGCTGCAGCATTTATCTGTCCATTATTCCTTTTTAGGAGAGGTATTGTTGAATATCCATGATGTAATCCGACGTACCCTTTATGAGGCCCTTTATGCGTCATAACTCCGTGACCTGACATGACCTTGACAAAAAATACCAAAAGTTGCGCAAAGGATGCCCCAGTGGATACTGAAAATTTGAGCAGGCTATCTGAAACGGTTCGGCGTGTAGCTAAGAAAAACCTCAGGGGGGGGGGGGTGCACCAACCCCCCCTACATGGGCGAGGGTTAACCCGCGCCCCACTGGGGTCTGCGTATAACGCGTCCTACTGGGGGGGGGGGGGGCACTTCATAGCCCCCCTCCTAACTCCGAAACTACTGGGCTGATCGTCAAAATTCAAACGGCGTCTGATAGCCCCGAAAACAACTGTCGAGCGAAACCTAATTTCGTTGATCTTGAGGTCACCGATGACGTCACAGGTCAGGTCAAAGTAAAAATTGTTAGTATTTTGGCTTGTTCACATTTTGGGCTCTGGCCGCCGTCTTACAGGTCAGATCGGGCTCATTTTTGGTTTACACACTCGTGAACAGATGCTTTAGATGCCCTGAGGGTACCAAACTTGTACTTTGATTTTCAGGTCAGGGTCAGGTCATCACAGGTCACGGAAATATTATATCATGCGTCAGTCACGTGACACATGTTTTATGGCCCATTTAGGCCACAGACTTCGAATTTGATGTCGATTGTGTCATACGAGGTCCTTTGGAGTTAAATTTAGCTTAGGTCAGGTCACTTTCAGGTAAAAAAGATCAAATTTTGAAGTTAAAAATTTTTCAACAACAAAGGTGTCAAATGGATGGTTTGAGCTCAGGAATACGATGGTGCTATTTATATTGGTGTACGATGTCAAATACGTACTGAAAAAAAAATGATTGAAAAAATTAAAAATGTGTTTTTTTTTGCAATAATGCGTAGGGGAGACCCGGGAGGTATGGGCCGGTTTTGTGAAAAGGCAATTTTCTTCCAGTGGGCAGTAGCTAGACCCTATTTTTCACTCTGTGTACGTGAAATTGTCTTTCGCCTGCAACGTGTGCCTGATATTAGGCATCTGGGATCAACTATTTTGTCTCGAGACAACTTTCAATAAATCATGTGCTTTTTCGATTCATCAAAATACACCGGGAGGTATGGGCCATGGCCCGGGAGGTATGGGCCGGTGCCATGTTTCATATTCTTTTCTCGACAATGAGAACAATACTCGTGGCTGGTATCTACCTTGATCTCTCTTAGAGCCCAGGAACCGCATAAGCGGCCAACAGCTTACTTCATGGAGGTCACTTGGGCCCATATGTATTTTGGTAAACTCAATCATCCACCATGAAATCAGATCAATAATATTTTTCTGTTCGAATGAAAGTTGAAGCTAAATTTTCGACCTTGCGCGACAAAAATAAAACTTATTGACGGGGACATTCAAAGAAAGCATCATTTTATTGATTTCGGATCACTGGAGGTGGGTGGCCCGAACCTCCCGGTAAGGACACCAGAATGTGCGTAGCATCTCAGCTCATAATCTTGCAAGAAAGCTTCAAATTACCTATCCAGTCTTAAGTTGCATGCTTTACACTTAATGTTAGCGATGATCGGACATCATAAAACGAGCCTGGATCAAATTTATCACAAATTTTCTGTATGTACCGTATGTTACTCGAACAGGGCAAAACGCTTTATCACCGCTCATTTCCAAAGAAGACTGAGGAAGATTTTGAAAATAACGTGGGCTGTATAACGGAATGGCTGCTACCAGTTAACGCCATCAAAAGTGTAAAAATACGCAACACTTCTTCAAAACTGTGGTGGCCCATACCTCCAGGGGGCCCATACCTCCCGGGTCTCCCCTACCTATAACTTGGCCATTTTTGAAGATATTTAGCTAAACTTTGCTACAGTAAGCCATAAGCATGTGTTCTATCACATATATTCCGTTTTTTTTCGAAAAGTCCGGAAATATTGCGGAAAAGTTTGGAAAAATAAAAAAATAAAAATTTTGAATTTTATTATATATAATTTTCGAAATTTTCAAAATTTTGAAAGTCCGAGATAGCAGTTTGATATCGCAGTCTATTCTGCGCAAAATTCTTTCATGCAAAGAACTTGGATCTAGCTTAAAAACTGAGCTCTTGGGAGCGAATGCCGTGGCTCAATGTTTTGCGTCAAATTCGGCCGAACATGACGTCACTCTGACGTCATTTCCGGCCGACCTATGGTAGCTACGTAGCACAAATTTTGACACAAGGTGTCAAATTGATGCAGCCGAAGGTAGGTACTGCAAGTTTGGCGTCGATACGTCAAGTGGTTCGGAGGTTATTGCAGAAAATGGGAGGGGCTATGAATAGTCCCCCCAGTGGTGGGGCGTGGGTTAAAGGTAGTGTGCCACCTTTGAAAGATTTCCCATTTTATTTTTCCTAGGATAATAAGCTTCTGTTTTTACCTAATATCGCAAAAAAATCAAAAATGGGCCTGGAATAGTGCCTTTTTCGCCTAAAAGTTTATCGGTTTTTCGATATGTATAACAACTGTAGTGGGCTGACCTGCAAACAGACGTCGGCAACAATCGCGAATGCGGCGCACATGTGACAATAAGCAAAGGTCATTATAGAGTTACGACGTACGGGAATGAGTTATCAGCTGTCTAATCGTAGACAACACAATGTCGAGCCTTAAACTGTAAGCCTGTATTGGTATTGTTTCTTTTATTTGGCTGTCGAACATTATTTATGGTTTGAAATATGATTTTATGTAAAATAATTGATATGAAAAAGCCGTCTCTTAAGTTATGACCCCATTTCACCACACGCAAGTGGCAGAAATGACAATGATCAGCTGACGCATTTTTCTTGGCCGAAGTCAGAGCGCGCGGCCCGACGCACCACCACCACACCCAAAGTATGAGCAGAAGCCGCGCCCAAAGCCAGGGCCCCGGTAACGTGAGGTAGCCGAGTCGGGGCAGCGTACGCTGACCCAAGCCGGGGCCGCAGCTTTGGGCGCGGTCTACCGCATCCCGCGGGCAGCCCCAGGCTATCACATGACACCGGGAGGACGCGCGGCCCCGGCTTGGGTCAGCGCACGCTGCCCCGACTCGGCTACCTCACGTTACCGGGGCCCTGGCTTTGGGCGCGGTCTACCGCACCACCTAACAGGCGTGTTCGAAACCGCAGGAGATGATGATGAACGGGTTTATCGAAACTTGATTGGGTGAGCATATCGGTAATAGCGATTTCAGTGTGTGCATTTATTGTTCATAGTGGTGTGAAATGTGGTTGGGGTACGACCGACAACCCGTCGGGGCGAATTTCGCACTGGGGTACTCAAAATTTGAAGAATTTAAGACGTTTCCATGAGTTTTGAAGGTATGGCTAAGTTCTAAAAATCTGGTTCTCCTTATCTGGGCCATTAACTCCATGCGGTCCAGGAAAGCTGGCACACTTCCTTTAAGTTATGTTCCACTCAGCAACCACTTGACCGATTTACATGCGGTTATTTTTGTAGGGTAGCTTCATTCCTTCTACCAAGTAGGTATTGGACTATTCCCGATGCATGTGGATGACCCCTTTTGCACGTGCCACGTGCAAAACGAAGAGGTGTCAGTTTTTTAATAGTTGCAATATTTCGGTGAGTATTTGGCCGATTGCGCTGAAAGTTGGCATGTAGGTAGGCACCCACTAGGCAGTGCATATCTATGTGCCAGAGTTGGGGTGCTGCTGCACGTGCGCACGTGCAGGGGTCGTTTCCAGATCTCGAGAACGGCTGGACCGGTGGCGCTCAAATTTGGTACACGGTTAGGGACCAGTTAGTAGGGTGCCGTCCACAAGTCAGTTGGGAGTTGGGACCCATTCTGCACGTGCTGCTACACGTGCGCACGTGCAGGGGTCGTTTCCAGATCTCGAGAACGGCTGGACCGGTGGCGCTCAAATTTGGTACACGGTTAGGGACCAGTTAGTAGGGTGCCGTCCACAAGTCAGTTGTGACCCATTCTGCACGTGTGCACGTGCAGGGTGCCGCTTCCAGATCTCGGGAACGGCTGGGCCGATTGTGCTCAAATTTGGCACATCGGTAGAGACCGGTTAGTAGGGTGCCATGCATAACTCATTTGGAGGTACCCCCTCGCAATTTCGCACGTGTAAGACTCACCCTCCTCTCGCTCGCTCCGTGAGTCGCCCCAAAAGGCGTTATACTGGTCCTTAGAATTGCAAGGTCGATCAAAGTCGTTTATAACTTCAGGCTCCTTAACCCTCGCCCTGGCAGGGGGGTTGATGCAACCCTTCCTAAGGTTTTTCGAAGATAGCGTAACAACGGCGGCGCGCAGCGCCGCCAAATTTGGCACAGCCTATGGGGCAACCATTTTACATGTAACCTTAAAATTTCAAGTTCATGTGACCTTGGGTCAGGTCACCAGGTCAGAAAAACCGGTACAAGGTCATGGTCAAATTTCAATTTTCTTTTTGCACCTGTCCAACTCACAGTTTTGGACTGATTTCCTTCAAACTTTCAAGATGTGCAAGTTTACCGAGTTGTATAACATATAGCTCGGGTTTTTTTTTGAGGTCACTGACCTGAGGTCAGTTAAAGGTCATTACGTCATAATGGGAATTGAGGTCATTACGTCATAAAGGTCATTACGCCTATGGGAAAATACTAAATTCGTAAAACACTTGAGATATCCGCTTCGTTCCATCACTTTTGTGCTTTGAAACCATAGTAATTAACAGCAGGTCACTTGGTGCTTCTTTGGTTGGTGTACTTATCCATGGGTCAGGTCAAATGAGGTCAACTGAGGTCAAATGACGTTTTTGCCAATAACTTGGCACATAATGACGCTAGAGCTTAAAAAATGGTGTCATTGTGTTCCTCATGATCAGCAGAATCGAATGATATGCGACATGATGCAATTTGGTTAACTTGAACTTAATTAGTTAATTAAAGTTTACTTAAAAATTAAGAAAAACTTTAACCCTCGCCGGCACAGGGTTGATGCAACCCCCCCCCCCCTAAGGTTTTTCGCGAATAACTCGCGTAAAAGCGGCCGATCGCGACGAAACTTTTAGTACCCTCGCATTGATCGATTTTACACCTAACCTGAAAATTTCATGACCCTGACCCCAATGACCTTTGACCTGTGACCTCTTTTCCGTGACCATGTTTGGCCGAAATCGCGATTCGGCGTTTGTCGGCTCGCATTAGCCGCGCGTTTGCAAACTTTTCGTGGTTTCAAACGTTCAAACATGTGATTTGATGCTGCTCCCATACATTAGGGTGGGTGTCAAGGTCACCTGAAGGTCAGGTCAGGTCATTGACCTTTGGTGACCTCGGGTGACCTCGGTTCACTTTTTCGAGTTTTACATGTTTCGAGGCTAGTTTTTGGAGCTGAATTCGAATTTAGCAACCATTTGAACATTTACCAAGTAGTTTTGGTGCCTTCGTAACATGTTACGAAGCTGTCAGAGGCGGTTGACACGTATTACGAATACCCGTCACAACCCCTACCGGTTGACCTGACCTGACCTGACCCGACCTGGTCTAAATGCTTAAATACATCATCTCTGATCAATACTAACACGATATTCGTGATCAGCACCCCGAAAAACCACATAGCAGCCACATTTTACGACTTTCTAACAGGTCCCAATTTTCCCGGTTTTCGGGTCATTGACCTGACCTGGAAGGTCACCCGATGACCTGGGACCTTAAAATTGGGTATCATCGGCTTCCTCACGTGACGGGCAACACGCTCGTTTTTTCCCCGAAGCTCTAGCTCGATCATGGGCCAAACGCGAGGGGGGGGGGCGTCGTACCACCCCTTGTGCCGTCGAAAGACGCAAAATGGCCTGTGCCGGCGAGGGTTAAGTACGGTTAAGCAAACAAAAAAGTATATCATTCGACGCGCCTTGACGTGCTGAGTTCACTGGTGCTTTTCTTTTTCTCTATCTTAACCCTCGCCCGCACATGGGGGGGGGGGGGGGTGGTGGTTGCCACCCCCCCCCCCCAGGTAGTCTTTCTGCTCTGCACTCAACATTTTTAAAGCTAGGAGGCTGATTTTTCGTATAGCTGCTCCTCTATCTTTTTTTGATGTTCACTGAAAATTTCAAGTTTCTGTGGTTTTTGGTTTCGGAGATATGACCTTGTTTTTCAGGTCATGTCATGACCCAAATGGCCAATTCTCAACATCTTGCGTTGGCAATGGGCCTTGTGAGCTTTTGACACCTTGATTTCGGCATTTTTTTTGCCAGTCTTACCTCCCACCTATCATGGAACATGTTGTTCGACGATGTACAGATGTCAAGGTCAGGGTCAAGGTCAACCTAGGTCATCTAAGATAATTGCGTTTTAGGCAAGCGGAATTTATTTTTTGTGAATTTTTTTGACTGCATTTTTGGTAAAAGCTTCTCAGATCATGATTTCATGTAATATGGACACATAAACAATCGGTGCACACATCAGTATACACTCAGACACACACGGACATACAAACACATATAATTGACCTTGACCTTACTTGACCTGAAATGACCCCAGCAGCAAAAACCTGGTCGGGTAGTGTGACTAAGAGGTTCTAGCTGGCTTGGCACCAGAAAACGGCATCGTCATCGGTATATGATAAGCAGCGCACTTGATATCCAACGGTGACCCAAAACAGCAACATTTTTTTTTAGTTTGACCTGACCTGAAAGGTCAATGACTGACCTGAGAAGGTAAAACTGGGTATCGTTGGATTCGTCTCTTCCCAAAGAATCTTTTTGGTCTTTACCGCTAAGCTCTATCTCCAACAGGAACGAAATGGCGCGGGGGGGGTGGCAACCACCCCCCCTCCCCATGTGCGTTCTAGGATGGGAAAATGGCATGTGCGGGCGAGGGTTAATTAGATCAAAAGTTATAAGCGAAAAACTTTTGACCTGTTTTTAGCGAAATTTTTACATTTATACCCCCAAAACCCCCCTAAATATTGACCTAGAGCAACTAAATTTGCACAGGGGCGAGAACTCCAGGGGGCCCACCTATCTACCCAATGTGGTGTTTCTAGGTGCCATAGGAGCCAATCGCGAGCGGGGGGGGGGGGGTCGCATCAACCCCCCCCCCCCGCCAGGCCGTGTTGTGAAAAATACCCTGCCAGGGCTAGGGTTAAGTGCCCATTTCTATTGAATATCATTAACTTACACAACACCGTAAAATAATATCGATCGAGTCAGCAAATTCAAGAGGTACATTTATTTGCTAGCATGCCATTGTGAAATGCTATACTTACTTATTATTTCACATTATACAATACACAAACATTATGTAAAATGTGTCAAAAGAAAGAAAATCTAAAGAGAATCATCTTGTAATATCGAATTCGTCCGATTGCTTGACTTCCCGCTACTTGATTGTTTTTATCTCAGAAATGACGGACAATGAGCACGCTCGTCTGTGACAAACTTTTCATGTTTGGAAGCACACGCTCAATTGAAGCACAGCCATGCGTATGAGCAAAAGGAATAGGCACAAATTCTTCCATATGATGCAATGCATCTCGCAGTTTCATGAATTATTTTGCCACATGACTTTACCTGGTGCATAACGTGAGGCGTGGTGCTGCCGATCTTCAGTCCCTTGAAGCCGCGGGCGAACTCCTCAGAGGTCAGGTCGGCGAACTTGTTCAGGGCCAGGGTGAAGGTGTGCTTTCCCTCAGCGTACTCCTTCATGTGCTGCTCAACCTTGACCTTGTTATCTGCGTATACCTAGAAGGGAAGTACGTGGGTTGAAACACGTCGCATATTTAAGTGATTATGATTTTAAACACCACCTTAAGTAAGGAAAATTTGGTAGTTTCATAATGCAAAAGGTCCTACTCCGAAATTGTGATTGCTGCAGGCTGTACTTGCCAACCATCCGCGCTATATGTAGGTACTTGCTCTCTTTTTATACATAAGACATGCGAAGTTCAAAAGCTAGATTTGTTTTACCAGTACTACAGTTTGAACTAAGTTCATCAATCTCTCTCTCTCTCTCTCTCTCTCTCTCTCTCTCTCTCTCTCTCTCTCTCTCTCTCTCTCTCTCTCTCTCTCTCTCTCTCTCTCTCTCTCTCTCTCTCTCTCTCTCTCTTTCTCTTTCTCTCTCTCTCTCTCTCTCTCTCTCTCTCCCTCTCTCTCTCTCTCTCTCTCTCTCTCTCTCTCTCTCTCTCTCTCTCTCTCTCTCTCTCCCTCTGGCTGTTTATACGTCACCTTCATCCTGTAGAACTCTTCGATAGGGTTGACGTAGGACTTGGCATGTTTCTGCTTGAAGGCCTCCCACTCTGCCCTGTCCACGAACGCCGAGGCGGCGCCCACCAGAAGTGCGACCAGCAGGATCTTCATGGTGTCTGGAAATACAATGACTGGTCATATGAGGAATCCAAAGGAATGTCAAACGTGCAACAGCATGTCTCACGCTTCATTCTGAGGTTGCAGAATGTAAAAGCGTAAGCACATGTAGTTATTAGCTCAAAGACACAGGCGGTAATAAGCACCGTCCGCGCAGGTAATCCAGCCTGTACACTCAGCAGAGATTGTCCCTTTTTCTACCAGGCCACCCCTGATAGTGTCATTGCATCGGATTAGGTTTAGCTGGAATATAAGCTGTTTAAAAAAGACACTTTACTCTTAACCCGCGCCCCGCTGGGGGGGGGGGGGGACAGAATCTGCCCCCCTCCCGTTTTTCGCCAATAACTTCTAAACGCGTTACGCCAGTGACGTCAAACTTTCAGTACCTTATTATACATCAATTTGACACGTTCCCTGAAAAATTGAGCGAAATCCGTTGGAAACGTTTTGAGAAATTGACGTTTTAGTGACGTCATGTTCGCCATTTTCGCCTAAAAAACGGCAAAATTTCCAACGCCGCTAACCAGGGGCGCGGGAACTACTTTCCGACTGGGGGGGCACACCATAATAGAGATTAACCTAGGGTACCCCCAAATCTAGTTTTCTCACCGGTTTTAGGCCACTTATTTTTCACCCCTCGGCTTTTTCAACAAAAAAGAAAACATTTGCAAAAAAAGTGTGGTATTCCGTCTCAAAGCTGTGGGGGCACCGCCCCCACGGCCCCACAGTTGGGGGGGCAAGCTGCCCCCACTGCCCCCCCGGCTCCCGCGCCTATGCGGCGCTAACATCTTCATTTTTAAAGGAATCAAGACGTAACAAAAAGGTGATACGTGATTCTACTTCGTATATCAAATGGCAATCTCGGCTTTTTGAAAATTTAGGATTTTGGCCCAATTAAAAAAAAACTGACATTTTTTTGGGAAAATAATTATAAAATCCAAAATTTTTAGTGTATCGAAAAAAAAACAGAATATATGTCAGAGAAGTGGTCTATGTGCACCTACATACAAATTTCTAGAAGAATCGGTTCAAAAATGTGGAAGTTATTCAAAATTTTATGACGTCACGACACACAATTTTTTTGAAAAAGGATGTTTTTAAAGTTCTAGACCTCCTACGGAAACAAAAATAGCACCATTCGATTCGCCGTGATAAACTGTATCAGATAGACACCTTTTTAGGCATTAACAACCAACTTGAAAATTTGACCTCACTTGACCTGACCTTGACCTGACCTTGACCTGAAATTCATCCAGAGGAGGTCCATATCACTTATTGAGTGTGCCTATTGAATTCTATGAATAAAATGACCCATAAAACATGTGTTGCACATGCCCTTTTCTATATTTTATTTTTGGTGACCTCACCTGACCTGACCTGACCTGACCTTGACCTTTGAATGACATTGTATGCAACGAATATTGTCTTGGTAGTCTAAGAACACGTTTTGGGCAATCAGTCTCCGTCTATTCTTCGGCAGCTACGGTGCACGGCCGATACTGTAGAAACTTGCATTTTGTACCCATGACCTGACCTTGACCTGACCTCTGACCTATTTTAGCAAAAAGAAATTGGGCTCTTAAGATCCGCCTTGTTGAGAGCTTTCGATTGCCGTTTTCTCCGGCTTTCTACGACCATCGGTTCGGAAGTTAGACAGTGGGCAGAATCTGCCCCCCCCCCCCCCCAGCAGGGCGCGTATGGCTGAATAGCCCAGCGGGGCGCGGGTTAAGACGATCCCTACCTATCTAACGTATTCATTTTCTTTTCTTTTTTTGTATCTTATCTATCTTATTTATGTATCTTTTCTTATTCATTTTAAAGCTGCTTAATGATGAAAAATGATATAAATAATAATGAAAAAGTTCTTAGGGTTAAACTTTCCGCTTGCCTACATATTACTCGTCATGCAGATGTGTGGTGCTGACATGCCTCACCTGCCAATCCGCCTTGGCGCCGACTAACAATAGCAGGGCAGGTAGGCTCGCTACCACTGTACAGGTGTCTTACCACCTTCCCACCCATTTTCACCTATCTAACAACAGGCTCAATAGGAAGGCAACAACATGTAGGGTAGGCAGATACTGTGCCTGTGGGCTGAGCCTATATATTGAGCATAAAGGTTCAACATGTCATTAGGTCTGGCTTTCCTCATGACCAGCCCAATGGCATTTTCTCACACACTGCCCTGTCCGGGAAGGTGGTCACCCCCACCAGACAACCGGTGGTGATAGAACGTCCCCGGCAGGACGTCACCTCGGGGTGACCGTTCCAGCAGCAAGGCGGACTGTCCCACCGGGATTGCCTCCGCCGCAGCGGCGCACCGGCGGTGGTCCACAAAGTCCAATGTCTACGCCCTAGACTATCAGTTCATAGCTCGGCAATGGCCTTTTCGGGTCGAAAAAGCCTCCGACAAAAATCGTCACCACTGCAACCATCTTACCCGCCTTCCCACCTCTGTCCACTCACCTGTGTTGCCAATGCAGTCAGATGAGCACGCGGCGCCAGTGCCGCGTTTTTATACCCTTCCCGGTGTGTTCCGCGTTGTGCAGCGGCTCCCACGCACCACCGGTCGTATGCACCAAAACATCCTTGTCGGCGGCCCCCCATGGGAACGGAAAGGTCCGAGGTGCAGCCACGGAGAGAGGCGCGCAGATCTGGGGCGATAATGATGCAATACGGCAACAGGCAGCTTGGCAATGCTGAAATTATAAATATATAACCATTATTCGCCACTTCGATATTTAACCATTTCTGATAGTGGAAGGGGGCCGGGGTACTGCAGTTTTTGGCCTCACTCTACAGCAGTTTTTTGCGTTTATAAAGCAAATCGTGACGCACTGCGTCACGAAACTTTGTTACTTTATCATGCATTAATTTTACATTTTTACGACAATAACTTTGAGAGATGAAACACCTGGTATGGGCACAGGTCACCAACATGGATTAATTAATGTGCGACATCAGGCACCTTCTAGCTATTTTAGCGTCTGTCCCAAGATAATCGGAGGTGGGCTAATGCGCCCGAAACAACGAAAGTTCCCAACACAGCGAAATTTGGTGAGACACCAGCAGGTCTCGGGGGGCCGATTCGAAATGGCGCACTAGGAAGCTAGTAAGACTAGGCGGCCAAGTGACACTTGAATGTAGTGACACTAAGCGGTATTTTACACCAATCAGCTAGTGGTTCAGCGCGAACCGAAATCGCATAGTGACGCTTGAAATCAAGTGTCACTAGGGCCTTAGTGCGCCAACGCGAATCGGTCCCTTGAACTTAGCAGATCTAAGTTCAAGGGACCGAGGGAGGGACCGAGGGAGCGAGGGTTAACCCTCGCACGTGTGGGGGTTGAATTGACCCCCCATGGTTTTTCGCAAATCACTCGCGCAAAAAGCGGCAAATCGCGACGAAACTTTCACTACCTCCGAGTTGATCAATTTTACACCTACTCTGAAAATTTCATGACCCTGACCCAAGTGACCTTTGACCTGTCACCTATTTCTCGAGGCCATGTTTGGCCGGAATCGCGATTCGGCGTATGTCAGCTCACATTATCCGCGCGTTTCCAGTCTTTTTGTGATTGTAAACGTCCAAACATATCAAATGATGTTTGTTCCATGCATCACGGTGGGTGTCAAGGTCACCTGAAGGTCAGGTCAGGTCATTGACCTTTGATGACCTCGGCTCACTTTTTAGAGTTTTACATGTTTCTAGGGTAGTTTTTTTCGGGCTGATTTCGAATTTAGCATCCATTTGAACGTTTAAGAAGTAGTTTTAGTGCCATCGTAACATGTTACGACGCCTTCAGTGGTGGCTGACACCTACTATGGATAGCGGGTAGGACGCGTACTGGTTGACCTGACCTGACCTGACCCGACCTAGCCTAAACGTATACAGACATCATATGTGATCAAAACTAACATGATATACGTGATCAGCACACCGAAAAACCCCATAACAGCTTCACTTTAAGAAGTTCTAGCAGGTCCTGATTTTCCCGACTTTTGGGTCATTGACCTGACCTGGAAGGTCAACCAATGACTTAGGACCTTAAAATTGGGTATCATCGGCTTCCTCTCGTCACGGGCAGTACGCTCGTTTTTTTCCGCGAAGCTCTAGTTCGATCAGGGGCCGAACGGCATGGGGGGGGTCCAACCGATCCCCCCTCCTACACATTAGACGCTGTAAAATGCCGCACACATGCGAGGGTGTAAATGTCTCCATAGGTCAATACAAATACAAATACAAGTATAAAAATTCCGCGTGTATTCGAGAGGCTGGCTCTCTCTACCGACTGGTGGTTGTCGTCCAGGTGTGTTTAGTCAGTCGTTGTGCCGTTGTGTTTCCAGGTACCGTTGCCGCCGGACGACAAGCCGTTCGATCTGGATCAGAGCAGCCAGCACACGGTACTCAGCGGCACCACGGTCCTGCAGACAAAGGCCTCCGAGCACCCGCTGGCCGTGGTCATTCGCACCGGTAAGCGTCCCCGGCCTGCAGTTATTAGGCCTGCAGCCAATCTGAAAATAGCGTGCTTACTGCTTGGGGTGCCATTCTAGCAGCTCTCGCATTGCGCCTGGCTTCAGCACACGCCGACAACTGAGCAGTAGGGGAGAGTGGGGTAAGATGCCCAGGGTGGGAAAGACGCCCCACCCCGTCTAGCGGCGAAACAAAGAATCGAACCTGGAAATTAATGTTCTTAGCGTAAAGCGGAAGCCTGCCGTGTTAGCTGCACGAAAATTTGCGAAGCTCAGTTGGGCAACGGCTGGCTGGTGATTGCATGTTTTTTATTTGCTGCTTTCAAAAATATTTTGTTGTCAAAACATTGTAAATATCAAAGAAGGTAGATAATTTTTTGCGTCCCTTGCTATAGTCGTGATACATTAACATGCGTGTACTGTGTCCCAAACAGTTTGTTTCAGGGTGTAGTTTTATGGCTAACAAATTGTACTGATTTAAAGGGACCCTCCCACCTTCAAAAAAGTTAATGAATTGGCATGAAAGTGATGTCGCTCGGTTCAGAAAGAGCAAAAACGAATAACGGCCAAATTTCATCGAAAAATATTCACCGGTTTTCAAGATATTAGACTTTTACTTTTGTTTACTTTTTGGGATCTCCGCTGTTCCTAGCGACTTTATTTGAAAGTGCGGCATTTGTTGCGCGCAAAGCAGCATATACCACCGCGTGCTACAAAACGTTTTAGTCAAACATTTAACGGACGTTCGAAAGCCTGATGACGTCATCAGATTCCCGTAATGGTTAAGAGATAGGGACCACGCTGGTCCCACCCTGCAAGTAAAGGGAAGAAATTTCTTGAACACCATAAAGCTGCGGGGGTTGCGACCAGGATAAATGGTGGTTTCTGAGCCTGGCCGCAAACTTGGCTATCTCAACTCAAAACTAATGTTAAGGTGGGAGGGTCCCTTTAATGTTACTTCGGTACCTTGAGGTAAGATGCCCCCTGTCCTGATGGGGAAAGACGCCCCCTAAATCCGTAGGCAATCCTTCAAGCAGCCCGTCAAATCATTTATTGCATACTTGTGATGAGAGACAAAAGCCGATCTGGGACTATTGAGAGTCCAGTACGGTCGGGTGCTCCCCATGCCGGTCTCTCGGCCCACACAGCGACTTTTTGGGCGGCATCTGACTCTGAGAGCCCTCACGACGGCCTCTGTGGGCCCCATTATTGGCTCCAGGGGACCAGGGCCCCTGACGACATCCTTTGAGGGCTCCCCTCCCACATTGGCTCCACGGGCCGCGCTGGCATCTGAGGTCCCCACGATGGGCTCGAGGGCCCTCAAGCATAATGAAGACCTATAAGGGCCCCACAGTGGTCTCCGAACGCCACCACGGAGGCTTGTTTGGCCGCGCTGGACTATGATGGCCCTAACGATGATCTCTGAAACCCATTACGACTACTTTTGAGGGCCCTTACGATGACGTTTAGTGTCTACTACTGGCTCGAAGGGACTACTGATCCGTTCAGGCGATTCACGTGCCCATTTATGTCACTTATAGTGCAGGGGGCATCTTCCCCAACGCCAGGGGGCGTCTTTCCCACCCTGTGGGATAAGATGCCCCCTTTCACTTCTTCAGGAAAATGCTTAATAGCAAAAAAGTTAGCATATTTCAGGCACGAAAGTGTGATATTTTTGGAGAAAAAGTGATGTCGGCTTCCGTTGAAACTCCAAGTTTTTGCTTTCCGATCGTCATTTTCGAATAATATATGACATAGTAAAACCCTAGGCATCTTTCCCCACTCTCCCCTACTTTTATGTTGCAGGACTTCAATCCTGTTAGCGATATAGGTATCCGGGCCGGAAATACTCGGCAAATGGAGCCATTAACCCTCGCCGGTCGAGGGGGGTGCCGCCCCCCCCATAGGTTTTTTTCTCTCGCGATAGCTCCGAACATGCTGGCGATAGTGAAACCTAGCATACCTGACCTTTGATTCAAGCCGGATCTTTTGACACCAACCGCATTTTCGGGTCAGGTCAGGTCACTGACCTATGACGTCATAAGTGAACCTCTGCATGGTCTTCAGATGTCGCAAATTCGCAACGCCCTCATTGCCAGAGGAGCTTTCACAGGGAAATGAAACTTGCAAGATCTAGTATCCATTACGAGTCTCACAACTTGTATATCTCGAATTTTTCCTAAAGGTCATATGAGGTCAGGTCATTTTCGTGACCTCACCATTACAAGTCAATGGGGAAAAATGAAAACTGCTATTCTGGCGCCTGGAACGATCTCCAACTATCTCAAGCACACAGAATCGTGATTTAATGCACTCCTTGCAAGGTTAGATGCGTCACTTTTGCAATGTTGCCCTTGCGTGACGTCATTTATGACGTCATCAAGGTCATATTAGTTTTTCGTCAATAACTCCCGATCAAATTGAGCTAGCGAGTCGGGAAAGCCACCAATGGACTCAGGAAGACCTGCCGAATCGAAAGATATACAAAATGACCTCTTTCGACCCACTTCGTGACCTGGGGGCGCTGACCTGACCTTGACCTGAGGTCAACACCCTAAGTTGATCTGACTCGAACAAAAAGTATATCATTCGACGCGCCTGAACGAGATGAACACTATACTGCCAAAATCGGCGCTCTGTTGCCGTTTTTTGCGAAGTTATTCACCAAAAACTGAACCGTACCTTAGGGCACGTGACCCCTGACCTCAGAGTTAACCGGTTGGCCTAGGACCTTAAAATCGGGTACGAATCTCTGCGTCTCGTAACGGCGCACACGCTCGTTTTTCCGCGACGCGCTAGCTCCACCAGGGGCGAAACGGAGAGAGGGGGGTCGTACCCGCCCCCCCCTCGGCCGGCGCGTATGTAGAAAACCAATAGGTCCGGCGAGGGTTAAAGCAACACAACTTAAATTGCGCTGGAAGTGGAGTTTCTTGTTCCTTTCTAGTAGGGTCGGAGAATAACCAGCGGCCTAACCCAGCACCAACTGGGCTGTTTTATACCTATGAGTTACTGCGAGTTACGACCTCCAGGGGAGGGGTTGGATCCGAGTCAGCCCCCCCCCCTCACACATGTTATCTCAAGAGCCAATGGTTACATCAAGCCCTGGTGGCGTTTGAAAACTCCCCACGATACCTTTCCAAAGCCTTTTTCTGATTTCAAGACTGAGGTCAAATTTCGGGTTAATATCATGTCATATTCATATTCTGGGGTAACTGCATGATAAGACTTATGAACGACATAATTAGTATACTTCCGGCCCAATTTTCAACCAAAGTGACCTCAAGGCCTAGAGGAGGTAAGTACCCTGTGAGCATAAGCGTCATGCTTATCGTGGGTCAAGGAAGGTCCAGGTTAGGTCACAAAAGGTCACTTTGAGACAACAGTCGACAAGAGTTGCAATAATTCTTTAGATATAGAATTGTGTACTTATTTTGATGATAGCCCGCGCCCCAGTGGTGGTCTCAGCCAACTTCGCCATAGTGGGGGGGGGGGCATATTTTACCACCTACCTCTAACTAAAAAACTAAGAGGGCTAGAAAGACACGATAAAAACAGTCGATAGCCCTCAATGCGTACGTCTGAAAGTATTTCAGTCATTTTTCATCTTAGAGCAATATTGGGGTCACCAGAGGTCATCATAGGCCAAAATGTGCTAAATGTCATTATATTTTTCAGAAAACATGCCGTTATCTCAGGAACTATGATAGCTAGAAAAACGCATGGAAAAGCAATCGATAGTTTTTGAACTCTTCTTTTGATAAGGTCATCATCAAAATTGACCTCAGGTGTCAACAGTTAAGCCTCCATAGGTCAAACATTGTAAAAATAGCTATTTTCGGATAAAACTTCTTTTCACGAATAACTTTTGAACCAGCAAAGATGAAAAATTGGCAATGGTACTATCGTGTTTCTCTCCTTCAGCCGCTTCGAAAAATAATCCTGGAAATCCAACGGTCAAACTTTGACCTCAGTTCAAGGTCACATGGTGACCCAAATAGGTCATGCTGCATAATGCATATCATTCGATGCGTTTCGACAAGACAAACACAATGAAGCCATCCCAGCGTTCTATATCTCTCCAATCGAGAGTTATTGGCAAAAATCTGTTTGTAGCCTCAAATGACCTCGGATGACCTTTCTAGAGACTATCAGCAAAAAAGACACCTTGGTCGTCACGGATGGTCCAAATCATGGTGATTCTGAAGTATTTGGAATGTTCCTATGCGTACACAGGGATCTAGAGAGATTTTCATCTTTCTCCATTGACTTATAATGGAAAGGTTACGCCACTGGCCTGACCTTAAGTCACGGATATAAAAAATCCGAGATATACAAATTATAGGAGCCTATAACATCATGTAATCCACCAAGGTTTAAACGTCTCTGACAAAAACTACAGGCTGGACATGATTGCAAACTTTTTATTAGGTTTAGTCAGTTAACTTGACCTGGTGACCTGACCTGACATGACCTGGGGTCAAAAATTTCACACATTGTCCACAGTTGATGACCAGAAAGCTACTCCAAGCATCGCAGCGCTACGCGTCGCGGTATTTTGTTCACACGCAAAAAACGCGACAGGGTGGTAACACATGCCCCCCCCCCCCCTGGAACGAAGGATAGTGGTTATTCTGCGTCGATCTTAGCTATGTGGGTGTGTGACGCATGACATAGAGCTTATTTCACCCGCCGGAATCGATTGTCATATTTATATTACTCTCCGCTTCACTGGTCGGATGTATTAACTTGTTAGAATAGGGGAGAGTGGGCTAAGATGCCCAGGGTGGGAAAGACGCCCACCCCCTCTAGCGGGGAAACAAAGAATCGAACCTGGAAATTAATGTTCTTAGCGTAAAGCGGAAGCCTGCCTTGTTAATAGCACAAAAATTTGCGAAGCTCAGTTGGGCAACGGCTGGCTGGTGATTGTATGTTTTTTATTTGCTGCTTTCAAAAAATATTTTGGTGTCAAAACATTGTAAATGTCAAGGAAGGTAGATAATT